CTTTAACCTTTCTTCATAGGGAAAGTGTTCAAACCCTTTTATCATTCTAGTTGCCCTTTTCTGCACTTTTTCCTTCCCCCCCCCCAATTTATTTTCGTTTTAATGAATAATAAAAAACTATACATACTCTATTACAACTTAAATTTTACAGAGAATCTTCCATTTTTCTACAATAACTTCTTTTCATACATCATTATTCATCCTCTTTACGTTTTTGTAACCATTCATACATTTTGGTCCAATATTTTCCAAACTCATTTTCATTTTTATCCTGAATAATAAATGTCAACTTTTCCATTTCTGCAACTTCTAATATTTTGCTTATATATTCTTCTCTTGTTGGTATATTTTCATCTTTCCAATATTTTGCAAACAGTATTTTTGCTGCTGTCAATAAATGCATAATTAAATAAATTTCCACTCTTTTATATCTCTCTGGTAATAGACTTAGTAAAAATATTCCTGGCTTCATTTCTAATTCCTTTCCCAAAATTTCTTCTATAATTCCTTTTATAATACTCCCAATACTTTTTCACTTTCTTACATATCCACCATATGTGATAATACGTACCTATATTTAGTTTACATTTCCAGCAGTTTTTGGACAGGTTTTTATTCATTTTATTAAGTCTGTCCGGTGTTATGTACCACCTATAAAGCATCTTTATTATATTTTCTTTGAAATTACTTGTTTTAAGATATTATATATTTCTGAACCATACCTTAGACCATTTCTTCTAAACTTATACTCCGTCCAATATCTTGTTCCCATTTTATCATTGTGGGTTTGACCCATTCGTCCTGCATTTTATATTCGAGTAGGAAGTTATATACTTTACCAATAACTTTATCATTATTTTTAATCCATATCTCGTCTAAATCGGTGTATTTGGTACAAAAGCCTATTTTTTAATCTTTCGTCCATCTAGAATTCAATTGTGTTCTTTCCCACCAGGTTAAATTTTTATTATTTTTTTTAACACATCCTCTGTCATTAAATTACCATTTCCATCCAATTTTATATAGTGCATCCCTTATCCAATGTTGTGCAAAATGATCTTTCGATGTCACTCCTTGGTACCATATATATGTATGCCATCCTTTCATAAGGTCATGGGCTTCCAGTTTAAGTAATCTACTATTTTCTAAAATAATCCACTCCTTAATCCAACTCATTGCTGCAGCACTACAATATAGTGACCAATCTGGTAATGCCAGATCTCCTCTTTTTGCAGTATCTTGTAGATATTTTAGTTTTCTGCACTTTTTCCAATGCTATAATATCCTTTTTGAGGTATGGTGACCAGAACTGTACACAATATTCCAAATGATGTCGCACCATCGATTTATACAGGGGCATTATGATTCCGGACTGATTTGTTTTCAATTCCCTTCCTAATAATCCCCAGCATAGCTTGGTGCTGGAGAGAACTCTGGCTTTTATATTTTTACAGAGACTGGCCATGTGTTGCTTCCCTTACCGACATGCTCCTTTTGGTATGAAAATTAGGACTTGCCCATCAATCTCACTTAATTGTGTAAACGTAGGCAGGAGAACCAACAGTATGAACATCCTCTTCAATGCTAGACTGGGAGTAAAAACGGCTGGTGCAAATGCATCCTGACATCTTAGAAACTACATGAAGAAAATTTTATTACTGAAGTGTTCCTCAGCAGTCTGAACTATTTCTTCCCTTGCAAGCAAAAACAAGCCTACACAGTATGCCACTTATAAATGTCAAACTATCTACCAAAGCATACAAAGTAAACTCACATAATATAGATGGTATGCAATCTGATTTAGTAGCTGAAACGCAGAAACACTATCTTGAAGCTAATATTATTGTTTCTAAAATATCTTTGATATGAGTTTTCACACATTGAAATATTTGAAGTTTGGTTTGAGAGCACCTCACAAAGCACAAGATCTGCCCGTTTCATGGCCTCAGAAGATTACGACTTTTTGTTTATTTCTTTCTCTGTTAGATCGAAGGCTTTCAGCTGCAAAGTAAAAGGGAAGTCAGAATGAAGGCAAAGAAACAGGAGCGTAAGGTTTACAAGCAAAATCCATCCTTTATAAAATTCCTATGCAAAAACTGCCAGAAGGAAATATGTTCGGGAGAAGATATACAAGTTATTGAAGAGATGCATCACGTCAATGCCAAAAAGGACTTCCAGTAAGTGGGAGTTATCTGGCAAAATTTCTCTGGAATTTGGGCTACTACCGGAACAGCCGCTAAAACTTTAAAGCGGCATAATGCATTTGTTTTGTTCAGCCTTCATTCAGTAGGGAATGAGAGGGAACATGCAGAGGAGAAATCATAACATGAAAGGTAAAGGTTCCCTTGCTTGAAAGCCAGTCGAGCCTGACTCTAGGGTTGCGGTGCTCATCTCCATTTCAAAGCCGAAGAGCCAGCGCTGTCCGAAGACGTTTCCGTGGTCATGTGGCTGGCATGACTAAATACCAAGGCGCACGGAACGCTGTTACCTTCCCACCAAAGTGGTACCTATTTATCTACTTGCAATTTCTTGCTTTCAAACTGCTAGGTTGGCAGGAACATGAAATGTAACCCTTATTAATAATTTAAAAATTAATCTTCTTTATGCACACTATTTGGTGTCCTCCCCCTCAGATAATCTCAGTGACACTCAGTGGCTCAGAAGCTGCACATCACTCTTTGACGTGCCACCTGTGGCTCTTCTGGGCACTGTTGCCCATGGCTTCCACCCTATGTTCCAGGAAAGTGGCCAGTTTCTTGAGAAATTGGAGTAACTTCGTCATTACTACATAAAACTCTTTCGTTTTTGAAATACAACACATCTTTTCCACAATGGCTATGTCAAGATATGGGTTTATACCATACCCTGTCACAAATGTATGGGTTATGTATATGAGGCTGGGTCAACAGATGCAGCTGCATGAGGTGGTAGAATGGGCATACCACTACTGATTGTGCTGCTAACCCATAAAGCAAATTCCAAGTAGGGGGAAAGATGACCCAATGTGCTTAGAGATACTCTAGTAACTGAAGGGTTATATTATATATTATTGTTTACACATGTTTTCAGTGATGCACAGGACATACTGTAGTCCTGGGGCTCTTTTGGTTTATAGGATTCGTAAATATGGCTGTCTGTGATCCTCAGATCTAGATCTTGGTCACCTTAGGAGTCAGTCTTTTATGAATTATTCCTTAGATTTAAAATTGTTCTGCCCAAGTAATTCAGTATCATCTGCTTAGTTCTAAGGATATCAGGCAAAGAAAATTTCCCTTGTACTTGTTTCCTTTAATTGGACATGTCAGGGCCATGGACTGTCTGAATACAAAGTTTCTGTTCTGCCCCTTATCAGAAACACTACCATTTCAGCTCTACCCCCACTTTATCTGTATACATATAACTGAGGGAGCAACTGCACAACTTGTGAGAGATCTGTGATGGGGTCTTTTGGCATGGCTAATTTGCTTTAATAGCAGCCACAGGGAAACCTAATATGGATTAAGGCTGTGGCTCTGAGGCAGGAAGTTAATCATTTCCGTTTGCCCTCTCCTGGATAGAAGTGCTCCTTACCCACCACCATTGCTATTAGCCCTGGAATGAGGCGGGGGGAATAGTCTCCCCCCACCATACCAGAGCGAGAAACAGTTCCGGGACAATGGATCTTGGGAAAAGGCATTGGTGGAAAGGTTTGTGTATTAAAACTCTGCCCCAGTGCCACAGCAGTGATCCAGTCCCCCCACCCACCCTTCACAGAGCAGACGTTAAAGAAAATAGAATATGTTACAAGATCGAATTGTGAATGTCTTAGGTTTCATCTATCTGTACCCTAAGAATCTTCGCGCAGTTAGCATTCTTGGACATATGCATTCAGTTGTGTTATATGTGCACTTCGTGTAGAAAACTCAATGTAATGCAGCAATTGTGTTTGCTGTCCAAAATTTGGAGCTGCCTTCAGAGATTCTGTTATCCTAGAACATGTACAGCGCAATCCTATGACCTGAATCCCTTCCTGCCTAGGAAAGGATAGCTTCACCAAGCAGTGAAGGTTTTCTCACTTGCAAAAACTAATTCTTATTTCTCAAACATTTTTAGGGAGCTTTATATTGTAAGAGAAAACAGGACTCTGCAGGCAAAGGAAGCCGATTATCAAATAAATGGAGAAATTATCTGCAGAGATTGTGGACAAGTAAGTGTGTATTATGGGTCAGTCTGATTTGGGTGGCTTTCTCGCCAGTGCATCTTTAGTAGTAATATATGATTGTCCCTTTCCTTAATTATTTTTGTTTTGCAGGCTTGGGGAACTATGATGGTACATCGAGGTCTAGACCTGCCATGCTTAAAAATAAAAAATTTTGTGGTTGTTTTCAAAGAGAAGAAAACTGCTCCAACCCAGATCTTCAAAAGATGGAGCGAGCTGCCCATTAAGTTTCCAGATTTTGATTATGCAGAACATTGTGAGTCCAGTGATGAAGATTAAGATGTCCAGAGGCACATATGTACATTTATGACTTAGCGACTAAAGTCTCAAGTGATGACAAACGTGGATGACAAGAGCTCTTGTATTACCTCAGTACAGTCCTTTTGAATGGAAGCAGTTCACGCATAGCAGCTGCAAGCCACTAAGTGAGAAATCGACAGCAGCAAAAATCTTGGATGATGAATATCCGTGTGTAAATCAGCACAGTATTTCTGGAGTCAGGGAGTCACCAAATGCATTCAAAGCATTGAGTGAGATCGTTCTTTTTGGAAGATTGCCTTCCTACCCCTTGCGTGGGACAAGAAAAGACAAGTAAGATTAGACCAAGGCAAAATAATTTTTAGAAACCCTCAGCAGGAAGCAGGAAGCAAACTTATTTTGTTACTCAGTATGCAGTTTTAATGCTTTCCAAATCCTTATGAAGTTATATTGAAAGAAAACAACCATTTAACAGTATTCATTTTCAATCAGATTTACAAACAAAAAAGAAAAGGAAATCTTCCTTTTTTGTGGCCTGAATATGCTATGGTGCTTAGTTATGAACATTTATGTAGCTCATCTAGGTGCATTTCTTACTGGATAGCTTGTAGTTCAATGTCTTTTATCAATAAAAATGAGGGAAATTAGGCTTGGCTGAATTTTTCTGCTTGTTTGGATAGTTCCTAAATGCAGAGGATACATTCTCAAAACCGGAAAAAAAGCAAGTTGATAAATGCTGGGTTTCGTCCTGCAGTGGACCCCTGAACCCCTCATTTCCTTGCAAATGCCCCATCTGGGGCTCTGGCAGCTGGCTTTCAGCTGCAACAGTGGCTCCTGCTCATCTCTCATGGGGGATGAGCCTCTCATGGCCACCCCTTGCTTGGCCCTGGCGAGGGGGGCCAGCAGTTGAGTGGCAGAGATTCTGGTGCTCCATCCTGGACTTTGCCCAGGGACTTAGAATCACTAAGACCACCCCTGACTCGGTAGCCATCACAGACAGTGATACATAGAAGGTATCCATAATGACAACTCTGTGTTTCTCTTCTACTGCTTCTCAAACACTGCAAAAAGAGATTATTTTACTGTGCTGCAGGAGTCATTGGCTATGAGTCAGATACATTTTCTAGGGAAATCTACATGCATAGTGGGGCTTTTTTTCTCCTAGTTTTAAAGATGGTTGTGTTTTTTAATATCTGGTGTATATTGTTTCCAGCCTCTTATTGTAAAACTTTAACTTGATCCAATAAAGTTTATCAATTCAATAAAGTTTATCTTTAAAAAAAGATGGTATCCACCCCATAAAACCCCATAATAAAAGTCATGTAGCTTTTGTTTTTAGATTGCAACTACCTGTGCAGTCTTTCTGTTTTAGTGATGCCAAATTTAGCTGTCAACAAGTGGGATTCTTCAGATGGAAGAAGATAATCTGAGATGGGACTGTTCATCAAGTTCCTCACCCCCTTCCCTGAACTCAAACCTGGAAATGGATTGATACATCTGACAAGTGTAGTAAGAGTGTTTCTGCAGTCCTTTCAGTCAGGCCTGCACTCATTTGTAGCATCAGTGAAACTACCCTGCTAGCATATGCACTGTCAGAAGAATTTATGAACATAATTCAGATCTTTATTCTGGAGTTCTGAGAGTGTTCAGTGGGTTGGATCCAGCCAGCTTTTTCGTTTGTCCTACCTACTTCTTACTACAACGCTCATCCCATGTTACTTTTGTCTATGCAGATCCCACGATCTTCACTCCCCTTTTTGATTTTGGAAACTTATCAAACTCTGGGGGAAAAGGTTCTTGAAATTATCATATCATGATAAAATGGTTAATAAGGTTTATCGTAGTCTTTGTACTATGTTATTTTTATGTAAAATGAAGGGCCAGGGTTGGTATAGTGGTTAGAGAGTGGGGCTAAAATCTAGGAGACCTTGTTGGGTAACCTGGGGACAGGATCTGGGAGACCTTGCTGGGTGACTTATCCTAATCCACCTTATAGGGTTGTTGTGGAGATAAAATGGAGGAAAGGAAAACTGGGGAGAAGGTGGGATATAAATGAAGTAAATACGTTTACTACTTGCCTGAAACAATGAGAAAACTTTAAAAAATGGTCACACAAATGAATTTGATACCTTGGAAGTCAGCAAGAATGTATAAATTGATATGACAGTTACTAGTACTATCTAAAGATGGAGCTGAATTTTCCACTTGACAGTTTTACACATACACTTGAGACATCTACAAAATGATGGCTCTGGTTGTTTTGGAGATACTGCACTGGGATCTGGCGAAGCATGAGGAGAACATCTTCCTGAACACACTTCCACATGTGCAATTAATAGCATGAGATCTACTTCAACACAAAACATACAACAAAAGGAATATGCAGTTATTACCTGATCAAAAATATCTTCTAAGCCCATTGACTTCAACAAACTTAAAATGGAACTCTGCAGGTAAGTGGTGAGGTTTACTTTTATAAGAAGAGATTGGATTTATACCCCACCCTTTACTACCTGAAGGAGTCTCAGAGCACCTTACAATTTCCCTTCCCCTCCCCACAACAGACACCCTGTGAGGTAGGCGGGGCTGAGAGCTCTTTGGAGAACTGCTTGTGAGAAAACAGCTCTGAAAGAACTTGTAACTGACCCAAGGTCACACCAGCAGCTGTATGTGGAGGAGTGGGGAATCAAACCCAGTTCTCCCAGATTAGAGTCCATGCTCTTAACCACTACACCAAACTGTCTTTTAGTGCTTCTGTTTCCATAAGGATTGTTGCAAATACAGAAATGTTTCATTGCATACAGCCACTGGATCCAGTGGACAGTGTGTGTCTACTTTCCAGGTGGTACCTGTTAGATTACATGAAATAGTGTTAAAATCTTTAGTTGCAATAACAGTGGTATATGCCAGCCAATGAAAAATACACGTTGTTCAGTCGCACAGTCGAGTCCAACTCTTCGCGACCCCATGGACCAGCTCCCGCCAGGCCCTCCTGTCTTCCGCTGTCCTCTGAAGTTGGCTCAATTTCATGTTCGTTGCGTCGATGACACTGTCCAACCATCTCATCCTTTGCCGTCCCCGTCTTCTTTGACCTTCAGTCTTTCCCAGCATCAGGGTCTTCTCCAGTGAGTGCTCCCTTCTCATTTGGTGGCCAAAGAGTGATAGGGCCAGATGCCATGATCTTAGGTTTTTTGATGTTGCGTTTCAGGCCAACTTTTATGGTCCCAAACCGATTCCAATCCTTGCGGATTGACTGCCAAGAAAATCAGGAGTAAGTCAAGTGTTTGGAAAGGCCCACTGTTGTGATAGCATCACAGCAGAGTCAGTTCCTTCCTGAATACAATGGCTTTTTTTGCTATAGTTGTCTGCTGACTCCAGTTTCTTGTTCATTCTCCCTCTGTCTCCCCTTGCTCGACTGGGTAGGGAGCAGTCAATGGCACAAAGATCTGGTTTCTAAACGCAGCGGCAGCATAGTATTTTTTATCATGGCTAACCAAAATATCATCAAACAGTGAGCAAACTCCTTTCCAGGCAAGATGTTAAGCTTAACTAAACAAAACAAAAAAGGGAAGGGGCAAAAAGAAAATTAAGTTTCAAAATGTAATGGAAAAGACTCAGTCTACAGTTTGCAGACTAAGCATGTCTACTCAGAAGCGACTCCTACTGAGTTCAGTGAAACTTACCTGCAGGTGCCATTAGGGACACATCTTTAGTA